TGAGGCCACCCAATCGAGTTTATGACTGCCTTGCGGTTGGTGACTTAAAAGAAATTAGACGTGATCGTTTGTGTTGGAAGCTCGTACTGACCAGCAATTGACGGTGATCAGCACACAATTGAAGCAGTCGCTCCCCAGTATCGGTACGCTAGGCCCGAGTCCAAATCTACAACCTAATTATACTTCTTCCCAACTTAGTCGGCCAAAACGAGCATACATATTACCCACTTGGATTACAACATCCGTCCTTCTTGTTGACGGAAACAGTGATGACGGACCTTAATGAAACCAGTCCTTCTCAGTTTGAAAACTGCTGATACGATACGATACTGCATCGTCCTGCGTTGATCCTAACTGAGCCATACAACCAGCCAGGCACAGCGCAAAGACCACTGTTTACTTGAATCCAGTCCAGTAATGCGCTTTCCGCCCTGGGGCTGAGTGCAACTCACATACTGTAGATATCATGAAGCATTGCGTTGCGACCACCAGATGCCTAAAGATTTAAATGTGAGACATATGGGCTCGTCCTGATCGCCTTGAGGCGCACCATCGAAGTAGGGTCTTGACTACATTTTTGGTAGGGAAGACATACATCGGCAGCGAGAGAAACCAAGGTTTCAGTGAGAGTACGGACAGCAGTGGCTGCAATGTGGATCACATCTCCTAGGGTTAGAAATTGATTATTTTGGTTTATTCTTTTGTGCGATGACTTAGACACGGATAAATGGTTAGGGGACTGCAGCAGAAGGCTGGTGAGCGAAGAGATGCAACGGCTAATGATACTTCCCGGCTGCTCGGGTCGAAGATGAGGGTTTCGTTCGGGCACCCCTCCTTGGGAATTCGGCTCGAAATTCTTATCCACAAGACAGTGAGAGGATGTAAGGTTTTGTTCGGCAACCCAGCCCCAGCCTCTAACTCAAAAGTTGGAAGCGTGAGGCAGCGGTTGTTAGGACTTTCTTGGGGGATCCTTACCGAAACCAACGACACACATCACTGCTGGGTGTCGAGGAAGCAGGGAGTAAGGCATTGCAGTCTCACAGCTGATGCAGCTTGGTAAAGCAGTTGCCTTTTGAGCGGCTCTGGACTCTTTGGTTTTATAAGTATTTCGACCGTATTGAATAAAGCGCCGGCGTTCACGGTCAACCGTTGGGCGATCGGAGTGCACGGTCTTTAGGGTCGAACTTTTCTAACCTGGGGGGAGAAGGCAGCATCGCACCTCCCAGTAATGTTGAGATGCTTGTTGTCTGAGGGGGGGGGGGGGAACGCACTACTGCCTTTCCATTCCTATCGCAGAGGATAGTACGACTTTACTTCCAGACCCATCCAAAATGGGTAAGAGGGGGCTAGTGATGCTATGTGACATCGGCACAAATAGGGGTAACATAAACAGGGATTCTGTTGGAAACTACTCAGAAGGTTGCTGAAAACTCTTCGACAGTCCACGACCGGTTTCGCCCTTCTTGGGACGCATCAGGTAAGCAAAGTTCCCGAGTTTCCATCAACTTTATGTTCTAATCGAAAGCAAGGATGCTGCTGCTTCATTGATTGGAGCGTATATCGAAGCTGAAGTAACCGACTTAGCTCGCACCGAGAACAACTTGACAGAACGCAAGGGTGGTCCTCGGAGATATTGTGTAAGTACAACTGTCCGGCGAACAAAAATGGTACTGGTCGAAATTATTCTCATGGCAGCTTGAACTAGTAATACGTCGGACGTTGAGCCGTAAATTAAGGCTGGACCTAACCTAACTAGACGATGCTCGATAATTTGTGACCCGTTAGTTCTTTGCTTTCCAGGTTGCTTACTGACATCAGGTGACTGTTCATTATTGTATTCACGATCTGCTTATGCTTAGATGAGAGGCGAGTACGATTTGGTTTTGCATGTTTCGGCCGGTCAACTTGTGTCTCGACCTCATGTGTTCATAAGACGAAAGACCACGGTTCAAAGCAAAGTAAAAAGCAGTTACCATCATAATAAGTTGACCTTTCAATGGTACGGAACTTCACTGAATAGTCATGCACAAATTGGAATGTATATTTCAGTCCTAACACCTTTTTTTAACACATGCAATTACACGAGACTGGCGACGAACATTATCAGCTGGCGCTATCCATGGGATCTGGAGCTTCAAACTGCTCGAATCCCTTGAAGTTCTCCAAAAGCAGTGAACTCCCACGATTCTGAAACACTGTTACAGCGGGAAATTTCGAACTGATCCACAAGCACCATCATACCAATCTCTCTTTGTCACAGTACACAAGGTCTTCGGACTTTGATAAACAGACAAACTTTGAAGATACACCAAACTGACAAGGTAGCACAACCGACTGCACCAATTATTCTGAGGTTTTTTTTCGTCGTACGCGCGGCCCGGCATTATTGGAAGGGAACAGGACGCAATACCGATGCCCGTCCCTTTTTCCTTTATGTAAGCAGGATACACTTGCACAGCATACCCTAATGCAGCAAAAATCACCAATAACATGGCGCCCTCAAACTGGACACTGCACTGCTCTTGACGACGGGGCAGAACGATCGATACGGAAAGGATACACGGCACGAAATGATGTTACTGAATGATAAGTCTACAAATCCATAATCTATATTCACGTTCGGAAAACCTGAAACCTTGGGATCCTGCCCCTATAGAGAACCAATGGTTTGCATAATCGTGGAAACTTGTATGCAGAAAGACGGAAAAACAAGAAATGAAAACACGATTACGTACAACCCAAGTGAAAAAGAACGATAAGGATAAATGCAGGAAATTATCATAACACTGAAAATAAGTGGTCACAATAAGGTCAGTTAAATGAAAGCATATAGGGCATACAACATAACCACAACAAAACACAAAGACTTCGGTTTACTGGAAGGGAAGTGTAATTATGCTAGATAAATGCAACAGGCGGCAAACTCAATCGCTCAAGTGGAGAGGATACGTCGAGATGAATCTGGCAGACGGGTTTTTACGGATAGTGTATCATCTGGTTCGGACACGTGTTGTTTTTTCTACAGGCGAAAAACGTAATCCGTAATGAAACCACACATACAAGGGTTAATAAAAAACGAAAATCATAAAGGAAACTAAACAACAGACTGGAAAAATAATGCGTGCCATTCCTTGGACAGCTACGTAGTACTGTAATATCTATCAATAAGGGACAGCCATGAGCGCGCACGTCGATTCATCACTCGTTTGACTGGCAAGCCAAGTGTTTTTGATGAAACATCAGTACTCAATTGACTAGCCGGCAACGGTTTAAAACCCTAATATTTTTATTTCAGGTAATCCTAACGTGTTCAACAGGAAATCTCGATCAAATTCTCAAGAAAATTCAACAGTGATGTGAAAATTTCCAAAAAAGACCTCGAGGTGTGAGGTTAAAAGACAGTGAGGACGGATGTCGTTTTGAGGTTGCTGTGCGTAATGAGCTATAATCGTAGTACCAGAAGAAGCCACGCGCCCTATGGACACGACCTGGGCCTGTTGTTGTTTAGGAGTCCCGATGTGCCGGAAGCAAAAGAAAAAACCTCAAGTTCTAGGATGTTTCACTATGGGAATATGAAGGATTTTAAAATGGGAGTGGGGCTACCGTAGACTGATTGACGCTCAATCCTGGCGTGAAGGTGTACGAATGCTGCCGAAGCCATTCTTGCATACCGTATTTCATCAAGTCACAAACTGTGACAGGTATCTTGAAATTACCTTCCTTTTCGAAAGCCGTGTTTCAGGAAACGTCGTTTCTTCATACTGAAACCTATCTGGGCACCAAATTCACCACTAAAAATTCATTATAATTGGGCAGTTAGTTGGTTGTTTCATTGTGTCGAAAGTGCCGTAAAATTTCTACATTGATCAGGTAGGATGTAGCAGCGGTTAGAAAGAAAGGCCGTCAGTAGGCCGTCGAGGATAGCTCAAGGTCGATATGCGCAAACTTAATTTGGGTAGATGCGGAAGATCCCCAAGTGGGAGACATTAGGTATCCAGGTATTCAGGAAAGAGGTTATTAGAAAAATTGTCAGTATTCTCGGTTCGTAACTCCTCCTTATTTTTGCAAAAAGGTTGCGCTATTCATACGCTAGAATTTTCAGATTTTCAGATACAACATCATCTAGGCTAGTTTTGGGAGCAAGTAAGGAAGAAATACGCGGAGATTCACCGAAATTAGAGCATGGGTTATGTGAAAAAGACAGCCAGTGTACAACTATAACGAGAATATTAGGACAACAGTTGTATAAATCTAGAACAGATTAATATAATAAGACTTAGTTTTTCACCAGCAAAAGATGCCACCGGTCAGAGGGTTCTCCCTGAAAACGTGGATCTATACGACAGAAGAAACTGTGAATGCGATCGACGTTTATTCCTATAAGTGAAGCCAGGTTATACCTAAAATCCGTGAGGCACTGCACCACTATTCCTTTCTTATTGGAAGTCGCCGGTAGTGCGCATTTCACGAAACTGCGGGGAGATTTGAACACGCAACCTCTCGGTTAACAGTGAAGCCACGAGGGGCTTTTCAGTGGTTTGACTAACTCGGATTTAGACAGGATATGGCACCATTCGCCTTTCAGTCACAGAGTTCAACTCTGGTGATAATGTGATGATTGGCCATTCCAGTTACCCATTCTCAGCTGGAAAGTACACTCATTGTGAGAAGTGCTCTTCCTCTGAGCTACTTATAGATTGCTAGTAGCGCGAGATTTGGAAACGAGGTCGGTTTATATGAAGGCTGTTTAGTAGGTCCTGCCAACGCTCGGGAGACCACATGAATGGAAGCACTCAAGGCACCAACACGGAATTTTTACCTTAGATGTGAGTGGTGTTCGTAGCGCTGGTGAATTTGCGAAGTCACCAAAAGAACAAGGGAGAAATGAATGCGTGACTTGAGCTTGTTTTAGCATACCCTCAAGACCAACATTATGGGTGATGCCACTTTTCACACTCTCGGACAACCTCTCCACATTGACTTAGGACTGTTTTTCATTACTAATAGAAATTCATACGGACAGGACCCACTCGAACATTTTCCCGCCACATATGAACGGCATTCAATGCCAAATGAGAGTGATGTTCATCCGTTCGCCGTTTCTTCGCACACGCGATTTCAGCGAATGTGATAAAGACTCCACTAATGATTCCCGCAGCAACCATGATAAACACACCGGCCATGTTGGTCAAACCCAGAGTGGCCGGACTAGACTCGGTACGTTCACAGTCGTCAGCGTTCACGTGGATCCAGACAGAATCAAGTTTCTCCATAAAACCTCCTGTAATAAAAAAACAAGCGCAGATACTTCATCAGGTTTTAAGGTTACACGGTACAGTGTGGAAAATTTTAATTTAGTTACCAGACGACTGAAAATGATGAAATGCGACATATATATTCGAAGGACAAGAACAAACAAAGTGAAGTTATGTGGGTCTGTTTTCTTGTAAGTGTTCAATTTTGAGGAAGTAAACAGGACAATGGACCAAAATATATTCTTATATGCGCGGTCCATGGTTGTATGTGGACTGGGATAGAGTCCAGGACGCCTAAACTTGGGCGTGATTCAGTGGCCATTGGCGTATGACAGATTCCAACCCAAAGAGCCAGAAGACTGTGTATCAGAATTCTACATATTCGCCAACCTGGTGTGATAAGCCCTGTGGATACCGGATTGGTATGCGCCAGATTAGTACAATGGCTTGCTGAGGTTCGCAAAACGCCACCTGAGGAATACGTCCATTCTCCCTCACCCTGGTTGGACCACAGAGGTAATTATAAAGTCAAGTGCTGCTAACCACTGGCATCGGTTTACAACGATCCTAGCTGCGTGCTTCTGAATGGACTGTTCCAAAGTAAGGAATCTTCACAATGTACTCGCTAATATTGTCGCGACAAGAGAAAGTACACTCCACACTGAAGTCAAACTCCCTTTGATATTTTGCGTTGTGATTTCTAGCTACTGAATGAAATCAGTGAATATTAATCAGCGTTCATTTACCCCAGCTTTTAACCAGCTTTTGCAAGAGGAGCCAATCTTACCACTCGGTCGATCGAATTAATGCACGCTTTTCTCCTCTCCAGTGTTAGACAGGTACCTGTTACGGGGTTATTATATCGCTACCGCAAATAAACCATGATTTACAAGATGAAAAGCAAGAGAGATGCCGTCTTAGTGCACCCGGAAGTAACGCGTATGGCGGCGCATATAAAAAACTCAAATGTCAAATAATTAAGAGTCTCAGTAAAGACTGAGAACTGTGATGCACAAGGAAAGCTGAGCAGACGATAAAGGCTCATCCAACATGTGCCCTATACCACATGATTCGACCGACATAAGAGCAATGGAAACTATAAAAGAAAAAGACAGTACAGGAATCATCTGCATACATTCCGATTGGAGAGATGGACTGAGCTCCCTGGAAAACATTTTAGCTGGTCTGCTGAGGCACAATCTCTAGAGGACAATGCGTACGGACGAACAGAATGTACTCCACAACTGTCTGTCAGAGGAGATTTTGGGGCGTGAGAAGGCACGAGGAACAGAGAGTTTGTACCAAGCACATTTCAAAAGTGCAAGGATTGAAGCCAAAATCTCCGTAGAATGTAGTACATCAACAGTCATCACTATCTTCGAATGGGAAAAGAGGGCACTGTGTAAAAATCATCGTGGTATTAGCCTGGTAGCCCTAGCATCGAAATTCCTCCCCATAAAATTGTCTAAACAAAGGCAGAGATAGATCCACCGAAACTAAGCTGTTTCCGCCTGCGAAACGATGTACAGATCAAACACCCTTTCCAACAGATCCGGCAACAGCGATACGGTGTCTTGCAACCAACTATGGTGGTTCTTCTTGCTTTTGATTCTGCTGATAGCTCAGTGGTAAGAGCGCAAATTTATTGACCGGAAGGTCCGTGGTTCGAACCCGACCTCTGCCTCTCGACTTCCCCTGTCTGGAATGGGTAACCTGGCAGAATCTCAGCCATCGTATTTCCTTCAAGTAGTATGGCAGCAAGGCATCGAAATGGTGTCACAGTGCCATCGTATTTCCTTCAAGTAGCATGGCAGCAAGGCATCGAAATGGTGTCACAGTTGAACGGTTATTTGCTGTTCTGCTGATCGCCTGACACTATGGGAGTGTCCATGAGGTTCGGGGCAACATTCGTGAGGCCGCGTCACCTGTGACACAGGTGTCTATCAGCCTATCTCTTACGCCTTGAGTTTAAGTTGCTGAGGTGCGTTCCATGTTGCTATATTGGCCAGAAATCTGGTTGCGCGAGTTGAAGACGTTAAAGAACTCTCAATTTGAGACTATCTGTGTCATCGAAGCATTGCAGGGACCTGATGAGCAATGTATAAGTATGTCGAATGATTTTTTTGGAACAAATGACTTGATAACACTCCACAGATTGCGATGGATTACTCACGTGCTCCGTATGCTAATCGCATGACTTGCTTGGATGTCCCTTTTAGGCACAAGGATTCGGAATGTTGGAAAGAGGAAAGGTTAAGTAATGACTGCAGACCGAATTATGTAAGCCAGTACTATCAGACTGAGCTGCGCTTTTATATTTTAACAGATGGCAAAAATCCACCGGCGCCTTTCTGTACACTAGAGAGCTGAAAAAGCAATTTCTTCGCAAGTTCGACAGTTCAATGTGTGCATGATTTAAACCGACCTGAAGAATTTGGTCCATTAAGTCCGTCCTCTAGTTGCAGGAAAACCCCTGCCATCGTTTGAACCAGTGCGCTAGTAACAGTTTCACCCTGTCGTTATGCAAACTAACAGACTTTAGACCTACAGGGAGCTTCGACATTGTACAGGAGGATCTTTGTGGTTGAAATGGAATCGCAAAATATGTAGCAAATGACACTCACTCTCGTGGAAATTCAAAACAGCCTGAGAAAGTTCCTCCAACCAAGGGTTACCCTTCTTCATTGCCAGACCGTATCCGCTGCGACCAAACACTTCACCCGCCGTGATCAAGTCACAATTTGACGCAGCCTCAAAATTCAGTCGTGGCGAATCCCAAATGAATGCTTTCAGAGCACCACTCTTCACAGCCTGGGGGAAATAAGCAGAATGGCATCATTCCAATGTGAGGCAATCAAAACAATACACCTGAGTAGAGGGGTAATCCTTTGCTGGGACCAGAGCAGAGTTCTACGTCATCCATAATTACGCACACCAAAGACGGAAGTCAATTTAGCTATGTTTGCCTCCCTAATCCTTTTGTCTGTCATTTTAAACCACTAACAGCGGCTGGCTGCTTCCTAAATGAGACTGGGTCATTAGTGGGCATTACCAATGAAGCATTGATACCAGGCAAACAAAAATGGTCAAAGTTTCGGGACACACATCCGAAACAAATAGTTGAAGTTGTTGTGGCAAGATTGAACCCTGATGCTTGAACGACAGCTAGCCAGTCCCTTTACAGCATTCGTGCAACCGGAGCCACTGTTTCTTTTTGACAAAATACGTTCGCGACCACTGTGACCAAATTATACTGCATCGAAGCGCCAACTGCCATGTCGTTGAGCCGACCATTGAGTATTGTTTGCAGCTATGTCAGGTGAATTACACGGAAGAAACAACTTGTCTCGACTCACCTCTACTGCTTCTTCCACGCTTGCACGATTGTAGGACTGCATCACCCGGTACATTGTGGAATATTCCATTTGTCGCTTGAAGTACATGTCCACCGCACTTCCTCGAACCGTGCCAAAGGTAAAATCCTTCTGCGGATTTCGGAGCTAGATGCGTTAAGACGGAAGGCAAACTAGACGAAGGATTCATGGGGAAAGAGAAGCAGCTTCACCACTATGATATATCACATAGCCCCAAGATGGGTGTTGCACATCCCGTGAAAATGCGTCCAGTCCAACTTTCTAGACAGGGTTAGTAAAGCACAGCTTATCTGCTTCCGGTAAAAGTGTAAAGGACGAGGTAGAGATTGCGTTATGAGAAGCTTTAAATTGGGATTACAGTTTCAGTTCCGAAATCGCTTTCTGTAGCCCGTAAATCATTCACAAGGTCACTGGTGTTGTAGCGACCCCGTCACCCATATACTTGACTGTTCAACTCAATCGCCCACTGGATCGCGAGGCTTGTCTATTTTCTCATACGCACAAACACGTCGTATTAGGCTGACACATCGGACATCGATTGTCTGCACCGCCTAGTCAGCGTAGCAACCACTCATGTGCCGACGCGCCCACATACACGCACTGGGACCTACATAAA